GCGTCCTTCAGCGGGCCCCTAAACAAATATATATACTAGTTCAGTGATAATGAACGCCATACTAAACTCCAAATTGTACACAAGAAACTAAAATTAAAAATAATACAAGACTAACAAAGGCTAGAGGCTCCTGACTTGGGACAGGCGCAAAAATGCGGCGGGGTTAAACATGTTTATGAGATCTCAATCCTCCCCCTATACCTCTAGCCAATGTAGAAAAGTAAACGCATAACAATACGCACATTAAAATTCAGTTCAAGAGAAGTCCGAGTCTGATGTCAGAAGATGTAACCAAAGAAAATAAACAAAATGACAATGATACATAAATAACAACAGACTACTAGCAGTTAACTGACATGCCAGCTCCAGACTTGAATTAAACTGATTGAAAGATTATGTCTTCATCATATGAATATCAGGCACAATCCTTCCCGTTAGGGGTTTAGTATCATACCATCATAACATATATGAGAAGAACATAACCCGTGTCATGCCAACAACTGGTTTTTAAATAAATGTGTTTAGTTCCGATGCAAAGACAAGCATTTCAACCTGTCTCTGCACCTTCAACAAATCTAGCTGAAGCATCCCATGCCTCAATGAAGCTATCTGGAGGGACTGGTTTGAATATTGTTCAGTCTGCCATATATGATATAAGTGAATGCTTTAAGTTTGAAAAGAGCATAGAAGGATACTGCCTTGGGTATGTCAAATCCGGAACCGGACCATCCAAAGCATTGAAAACATCTCAAATGGAGAAAAGGACTTTAAAAAATATTGATGAACTAATAAATGACTAAATTAGATGGACAATACCACTCTGGAGAGCAAGGCCCGAGTAGAGTAACAATCGCATCATTTCAGCCAAATGAATCCTCCTCACATAGAGCAGACAAGGGAAAAGATCCTGACAAACGACCTGAGGGCCGAAAGAGAACAGTTAAAAGTAGTAGTTTCAATAATTCTCTCGAAAAAGCATCAGAATTGAGTCAGTTCAAAATTGTTGACGTTGAGCAATATTCACCTACTGAAGCTTGTGTTACGGTAAAAACAAAAGATGGGGATTTCTACAATGTTAAGTTCAACCAAACAACGACATGTTCCTGTCCATACTCAAAATCGCAGGAAATTATAAGACAAAAGAAATATCCATGCAAACATAGATTATTTGTTCTTCTGGAAATTGGTTTTCTTCATGATGATACAGTTTTACTTCAGTATTCTTACAAATCACAAGAAATACGACGGATCATTTCTAAACTTAGAAACCATACAGAAGTTTCCAAGGATAAATCTACAAATCTTTTACCTCATTCTAATTATGAATCTGCTAAAAGTAGTAAAGAATTGAAACTATCGATGGCTAAATATTCAAAAGACAATTTATATGAAATTACATTTTTGATTGGACTTATTTCCAAATGCTATGGTTGTGAAAAAACTGTTTCACCTGAAGACAAAAATCCACCTAATGACATTGTTATTCGTCATCTGGAAATCAGGCCAGGATACAACAGAGAGAAAAATGAATGGTTTGTGACAAAAGACAAAAAACAAACAAATGCCTACTATCATGCAAAGGCCCAATGTGTGAAAACAATTCACGGCGAATTCATACCCGATTTAGTTGTTTTACCACATTCAATAAAATTACAGCTATCAGACGACCACAAAGAAAAACTCCAATCCTGTGGATTTATAATCTAGTGAAAACTGTGTAAAGAAAGTCTCAATGTCATGTAAATATTTTGTATTATTTCATCTGTAATTATCATGGGAACCCTACATGTACATTTGCGCGAATTTGAATTATGTGTGACAATCATTACTTTTGCACGATAATTGGTAATAGGTTTGCTCGAATTAACCCCATATTTAACTTGTGTTTTACCTGTTGTTTAATCATGAGAATATCAACCTTAATGTCTCTTATTTTTGTAATATTGGTACATATCAGATCATTTACAATATCAGAAGTATTAAATTGTTTATATAAACATTGAAAAAAACATTTTAAGAATGCAGTCTGGATTCCAACACAGCTTATATATATTTTCAAACATGTATGTTTGAACAAATGCTTTACTTTGAAAATAGTCTACTTTATATGATTTATATGTCCATTAGGTATCTCCTGCCATTTCCTTCTTTTTTGGTAGATATTCTAAGAAAAATTAGCAATGTTTAATAGTTATTTTTGGAACATTCAAATTTGCTTACATACTTTAAGGATTTTAGTCTGAATGAAGGAAAACTGTATAAGAATAGTTATTTTAAATAGTTCACCCTTCAAAATGCAAAAGAATACATATTTACGTTTCTATGTTAACATTTATTTACAGCATTTTTTATTGAATTATTTTGTTTATATCTTAAATTCCTTAATTTCTTTTTCAAAACTTGTATAAAAAGATTGATGTATTTTATACATGAATTGTCAAGGACCTCTTTCTAGGTACTAACAATTTGATACTGCTTTGTTTTAAATTTATAACTGTATTATACTTGTTGAGAGAGATGAGACTTAAATAAAATATTGAATTGAATTGATTCAAATTTCATATATACATATCTGTTATCTACAAGTTCGATCATATATACAAATACATGGTTAAAGAGAGACACATTCATTAACATAGGCGTATCAAATGGGGATAGCTAATCAGAGGCGGATCCAATTTTTCCGAAAGGAGGGCAGGCCTGCTTCATTTTTTTAATCTGTAAGTGTGGGGGTCCTTATCTTGGAAATCTGTTTAAAAATCAGGATTTTGAGGCTAAATTTGGTTCTGCCCCCTCCAACTTACAGTTAAAAAATGTAGCGGGCCTGTCCCACCACCCACCCCCACCCCCCTTTTCGAAAAGTCATCACTATACATACTCAACTTTTTCACATTTTAACATTTAAAACTTTATTGTTAATTTTGACCAGGGCTTGGATACTTTCTAACATGCATCAATTTAAAAGTAGCATTTAGTTCCAGATCACACAACTTGAGGAACAGGATATAAAAACAAAGAAGTCGTAAAATATAGGGCTAGTAATGAGAGATGATTAGAGTTGAAACACAACCATGACAGCTGCACCCTACATTAAATTTAACGGTCAATGGATCAGTCTGCTAAAGTACATGAAAACAATTAATTAGTAATCTCAACACTCCTGAAAATAGCAAATTATTGTCAGCAATTAAATACTGATTATAGATAAGATATAGTTTACAAACTTAAGCTCAATGACAGTATTTTAAACTTTAATTAAAAGACAGATATTGACAAAAGTGCAAACTCCATGATGTATGTCAAAGAAATAAGGTGAAAATACGATGACTGATAAGAAATTTTACAAAAAGTATATGTATATCCAAATTAAAAATTCTTCCAATTTTACAAAAATTGTAAAAGAAATAATTGAAGATCATGCAACATGCAACACGCAACACGCAACATGCAACACGCAACACGCAACATGCAACACGCAACATGCATACTAGTCAATTTCCAAGTTTTAGTGTTTTTGTCTATTATCTTGAAAACTATTAAATAGCAAGACAAGATCTACAAATACCGTAAGTCAACATGGCCTAAATCATCAGTCCACTCCTTAATGGAGTTCTTGCTCCTTATTGACAATTTTTACACTTTTTTGCATTTTCGCCTATTAACTTGAAAATTATAAAATATAGATAGACACTTTAAACTGCAAAAATGATCATCAATACAAGATAAACATTAAAGATTCGTTCATGAATTCTATTCTAGTCCACCATGTTGGAGAGTGTCCATTGTTGAAGATGCACATAGACCTAGGTGATGGACACAGGCACTTTAGAGCCTCTAATTTCATTTTAGAATACTATCTGGAAAACTAATAGATGAACAGAAGTGTAGTACATAGTTTCCATTCAACATAAATACAGATTTCTTGTTTTTCAGTTTCATGTAAAAATGCCAGGTGAGCCATACAGGCTCCTTCTAGACACTAGGTCTTCATAAAAATGTTGAATTTGTGAATGTTAGGAAAGCTCTTAAAATCAGCTTAAATATTCTGTATGTATATCAGTAACCTTAAAACAAGTCTTCAATTTGAAAAGGAAAGATCTTGCAATTTAAATATTATATCATTCCTGTATTGCCAATAAGTATATTTGGTAATAAAATGGTTTCAGTGATTTTGGAAGAAAATGCACATTCTGGTGATAAATTTTTTCAATAAGCACTTTTAAATATTCCTGATGATCATGATGATAGTAAATCCAGAAAAGTGCTTCTGACCTATGAAATTTATAGAGTATTGTTTTCATATTTTACAGCACTGGGTAGATACCCTGCTGATTGACTATCAGTTCCCTAAGGTATCATCAGCTCAGTAGTCAGTACTTCAGTAACAAACCTTTTTAAAATTGTTCATTAAAAAATTTAGAAATTATCAAGAAACTAAGGTTTCAACTCCCTCAGGTAAAGTTGACCTTAGTTGAATATGGGAATTATTTCCAAGGGCTGTTCCATTAAAACATACATGGTATTCAGGGAAGGCACTTTAAAAATGGAGTAACCACCTATAGAGGCAAATTAAAATTCACTTACATTTCCACTATGCAAAAACATAGATGACACCAACCCATAGTTAAGGAACAGCCCTTTGTCCTTTTTGGTCATAAAGCTTTTCAAATTTTTCAGTTCTTATATATCCTTGGCTTTCAAATAGTTGATTTTGAGCGTTTCTGTTGAAGAGAAATCCAGAAAAGCGCTTCGGACACATGAAATTTATAGAGTGTTGTCTTTATTTTTTATTGTTTTTTAATTAACATACAACATCTAAAGGTTCACTGTAATTTAACTGAACAATTTTAAACAAATATAACTATCAATCTTGGCCACTCCTTCCATGATAACTTTTTGGTAGATGCTATTACAGTGAAGCTACTTCAACAGCAAATATTTCCACAACAGCAAGGAATCTCCAATATATTAATCTTCAAACTAAAGATATGAAAACAAAGTTACTACATTATTTTTATTTACTAAAACATTTATCCCATTCATGAAAAGAAAGACAGATACAAGAATTTATACACAATGTACTCCCACAACCACAAATGTCATACAGCATGATATAGGTCACATACATAAAGAACTGATATTTTATATCAAAATATATTATTCCTAATGAAACCCTAACTTTCATACATTTTGTAAATCTTTAAAAATTTTAAAATTAAGATATTTATTTAAAGACAGTTTCTAATGTCATTCAATATGTTTATGTGTGTTTTGCTGTCTTTTTTTCACAATACATGTAGTATTCTCATCATTCATTTATTCATTCATTTATCATAATAAAAATAAAAATAAAATATTTCAATCACTTTTTGCTTGTACCAGTCAGGGGCGTTACTTAAACAAGTAACTTTTTTTAGTTACTTATATAGGTAATTTTTGTTTTTAAAAAATACAAAATTACTCAATAGAGTTATTTTAATTTTCAATAGAAGCAAGGACTATATGTTGTTTTCATGAATTTTTACATCATTTTATATCATAAAATTAAGAATTTATTAGATTTGAGAGGAGTATAGACAATAAGGGTTACTTTAAAAATAATGACAAAAATGTTACTTGAATAAGTTATTTTATACATCTTTGAAAGAATTAGTAATAACACTTATGTAAGGAACATATGTAATTGTCTTGGGTTACAAATTATAAATAACTTCAAGTCTTAATTAATTCACAAGTTTCTATCTATTTATATCTGTCTAATTTCAAGATTTTCAAGGCAAACGATATTTTGATAGTCCCAAGAGACCAATCTTTGACCCAGAAGCGTAGATATGAAAGATAAGTGCATCAGAAAGGCAATTAGTGTTTCAGAAGGATTAGATTTTATATTTCATGGGAAAAATAACAAGTTGACTGTAAAAATTTGTTAAAACTAGTAAAATCTGTATAATTGGACACCTATAAAATAATATTTAGAAAAGTTACTTATATAGGTAATTTTTAAAATAGCCTCGTTTTCAACATTACTTGTATAGGTAATTTTAAAAGTTACTTGTTTAAGTAATGCCCCTGACTGTGTACTACATTAGTTTTGAAACTCATCTTCATTTATACTCATCTTCATTTATACTCATCTTCATTTATATAATTTTCATGAACATAGTAAATATCCTTCAAAAAGCCCAGACTAGAAAAAACCTGTGTTTTCATTAACAACAAGTGTATGTGTATGAAAGATAAGGTCAAATTAAGAGATAACTGTATTGTATTTGAAGCTTTGCAGATGTCCATCGGAAGTTTTACTGTCGCAAATTTAGTTTACCTGGCGATGCGTAGCGGAGACAGGTAAACGGGTATTTGCAACAGTAAAACTACTGATGGACATCCGCAAAGCTTCAAATACAATACAGTTATCTCTATTCTAATGCAAAACAAGTACATAATTCAATTTCAATCATTATTTCAGTGTAAAATTTTTATTTAAGAAAATTCTGCGAAAAGATGTTATCTTCTTTGGCCCCTAAACTAGGTGACGTCAAAGGTATGCTTCCAGCGTCAAACGTAAACACCGGGCTTTTTCTGGCTTCTTGACCGCTTCAGAATGTAATAAAATTTGATAAAAAGAAGATTTCTAGGTGCAACATGTCAGTTTTTTGCTTATTATTGTAGAAATTACATGACAATACATTCCGCAATTTAAAATGTCGGCTTCCTTAGTTACAGACAAGGAGATAGAGAATTTTACGCTTACTGTCATCCAATCAGAACCATTGATACAAAATAATTGCATTAAAATTTAGAAAGTTCTACATATGGTTTTATTTTGTTTAACAAAAAATCACAATGATAACTGAATAAAATAAAGTATAATAAGTTCTTGTTATGATATACAATATTTCACATTGATCTTGTATGTATCTGTTGTAACACTTGTAGCCCATATAAAAATAATTTCAAGTTACCTGAAATTGAAAAGCCCAGAAGGAAAATGCTTTCATTTGAAAAAAAAAAAAACAACAGGTTAATGAGGCAAAAAGCAGAAAAATGATAAAGGAATGTATCTGTATTTCATAATTGTTTTATGCATATTGCTCACATCATTGTACAAGCAAATAACATTTATTATCAACTAACAATTACTATAACAAGGACAAACAAAAACATCAACAACCCTTACATTTATACTGAAAAAAATCTTAACAGAAAACTAAGTTTTCAGGCATTAAACTTCTTAAAATAAACTTTTTCATTTAAACAAAAACATATACTATATAATGACTATGAATGACATATTTATTATAAAGATGCCAATTTGGTTAGAAATGCAAGTGCTATATGATCTTTTCTATCAGAATAATTAATTTCTACTGTTGAGAGATTAATGTTCTGGCTAGAGAGACTGCAGTGTGAAAACACCATCTTCATGTATTACTATACAAAAAATTCATTCAAGAAAATTTTCCTAAACCTGAAACATTTACTTATATGTTGTGAAAGCATAAAGTAATGTGATAAATGCTTATACTAGAAAAAAATTCAATATTAAGGATGTTCCCTCCTCTTGTTTTTGAATTATTGTCAGATATTCGGAATTCTCTGGTTTTATCCATGTATTGCCATTTAAAATTTTGCCCACTAAACCGTAATTTTCTATTTATAATTCTATTACATATAGTTTTAAAAGCAATATTTGAAAATCTTATACAATCCTTCATATTTTTTCATAGTTTTTGAAAGAAAAAAGGTACCAATGATAAATGGAGGAAAAGTCTAGAGAGAATCATTTCCCGCCAAATTTTCAATGGCTTATATCTCGAAAACAAGGACACGGACCCTTTATTTTTTTCTGCTTTTTTAGTTCTGTTATTTCTAAACTGTCAATTTATAACAGTCTTTTAAAAATCTTGTTATTTTGAAACAGAGTAGCGAACATCCTTTATTTAATCTTTTAATAACTGATGTGTTTGACAAGTATTAAAATAGTGATAGCATCAGTTTATAGTTATTAACTTATAAATCTCTTCTTTACCTTTTTCATAAAAAAATTCCTTACTTATTTCATATATTTTCCCGTTATTTTCTATTACAAATGTCTCATTAAACGAGACAGAAAATATTTTCTCTCTAGATGCATAGATAGTAGTCCTATACTGCTATAGTCTTTGATCTTACAACTCTTCTTTCTGCTTTTTTAAAACAATTTCTACTTTGTCAAGCATATGCTGGAATTTGCCTTCAACACTGCTAACTGAAAACAATAAAAGGTTGTCAATATCACTGACATAATGTTTCATCATTTACATCTGTCAAATTTTGAAGTATTATTTATTATTCTTTTTAGATAGACGGATAATATTCTACTAAGTTACAGTTCAGGCATTGAAACGTTATACTTTGGATTCATTTATTTTCGTGGGTACCAATTTTCGTGGATTGCGGAAAACATGCCTTTTTGTGGATATGTGATTTCGTGGTTTTTGCCAAATTCTGCATACAACCTAATAGACAATTTGTAATTCTTTGAACATTTGAATTCGTGGTTCGCCTGTACCCAAGAAAACCACGAAAATTGGTATTCAACGAATAATAATGAATCCACAGTAAACAAGAATGATATTTTAGTCTTGGAAACCATGGTTTATTTATTAGTTAAAATTGGCTTTGAATTAGCATTTAGTAACACTTATTACCATTAGATCAGCACTTGTGTTTTTTTGTGTGTGTTTTTTTGTTTGTTATGTGCTTTGAGCAAAAAATTGATGAGTCACAATGCAATGGTTTTTACAGGTCATACTTATGTTGTGCTGTTACTATGATTTTCAAAGTGTTAACCCCACCGCATTCTTTGGTTATTGTTGGTTGCTTACTATACAGTATGCGTTGTTGGTTTCATCCTCGTCCTTTGGTCTCTGAAGGGACAGTTATCTCATTAGAGTTCATACCACATCTCATTATTTTTATACTAATCACAAAGAACAAAGAATGGAAGTCAGTCAATGTCAGGTGAATCCTATCTGTCAAACATGTACCAATATAACAGCCAATCACTATATTATATCAAATATAGTTGACCTATTACTCATAATAACTGTAACGAAACACGAAAGGAACCTATACAGTTATTTTATACAGTTAATGAACCATGAATATAAGTGTAAGACAACAGACATATGCAGGACAGAAACTTCTGAACCAAAGGCATCATTAAACAAAGATATAAATAATCCAGGTCTTCTAACCACTGAAATATAAAGCAGCTTCCACCCCTGTATTAGCATCTCAATTTCTTGCATTCTGTAACTTTCTGTTACAATGAATCATAAAGTGAATTTAAGTTTGTGTAATTCATGTCTAAAATCTAAATAGATTTGCTGTAAGATTGAAAGTTAACTACCTGTACCATGTAAACAATTAAGATCAATTACTGTTCAAAAGATTGAAGAAATTAGCAATGCGTGATTACCTGTGTTTCCAGGTATATCTACTTTGTATTCTTCTGCTTCTAAGGGTTTTCCTTGTGATCCCTGAAATAACAAGATGAAACTTAAAATGACAATTATGAAAACTTAATATGCCAAAGTAGCAATGAATGTAAGATGGTTTGTTTCATCCAGTTCTGAGTAGGCAAATAAAACTTGAAGTTAAAAAACAAATATTCCCTTTTCCACAATTCTTAAAAATAAAAACATATTTTCCATCAAATTTTAAGCAAACTCTACATGTAGGCAATGAACTATCTGTCTTATAGTATTGCTGGGTTGCTATCTCATAGATTTATACCCTTACCAGTACTACTACATCTATGTTCATTCTGTAAAGTTTTGTTTAATTAAAAATGATAAATACTCAAAGGGAGATAAATGTGATATGTATTATTAACTATAAAAGGAGTGGCAAGACGATTATTTCAAGCTACTGTGGTAATTAAGTTTTTTGACTTTAGGACTTACTTCATGTAGCTTGTTGACTTGTAAACTTTATGAGATAGACAGATAATATAACAACCCTTTTTTAACATATTTCATGTGGAACATATTTGTTCCTTTTGATCTTTTTGCAGAAGACAAAAAATTAAAAATACCTAAAATAGTACTACTACTATTATTTTTTCCGTTAATATAATTGTAATAATATATACATGATCTAAAGAGGATTAAACCACATGAAAACAAAAAAGACAAAGTATTGGTCCAAAAAATTGTTGGTGATGAAATCAGAATAATATTCAAAACATAGGGTCATACACAAAGATATTATAGTCATACCAGTACAGTTCCTTCAACTGTTTTTCCTCCTTTTCCAGTCATAATGAAATTTTCAAAATATAAATATGACATTCCGCTTTCTCTTTCTACAGAACAGGCAAACTGTGTCTTTGTTTCATCTACAGATAACTTCATTAACCATTGCTACAACAGATAAATAGAACCTTGTAATTCTTATTAACTATACCTTCATTGTAAAACAAAAGGCTATGATTGATTCAACATGATACCATTGCAGCATTTTGTCAAAGGAGTTGAGTTAATGTATATTAAAGCAAGTGTTCAAAATCGAAAGGAACGGAAAATAAAAATTTTGCAATTTTTCCATTTATAAAGGGGCATTACTCTAGAACGGTTTAAGTGACACCCCCAAAATTCAATCTTGATCTGTGTTTTGTGGTAATAAGCAATGTGTATAAGTTTCATAACATTTGGTTGAGGCAAACTTAAGTTATAGAACGGAAACTAAAAATTTTGCAATTTTTCCATTTATAAAGGGGCATAACTCTAGAACGGTTAAAGTGACGCCACCAAAATTCAAACTTGATCTGTGTTTTGTGGTAATAAGCATTGTGTATAAGTTTCATAACATTTAGTTGAGGCAAACTCAAGTTAGAGAACGGAAACCAATTTTGGGACGTACGTACGTACAGACAGACAAGGGTAAAACTTAATGCCCCCACCACTTCGGCCATTTATCAGTAAAATATGGAAAAATGAAAATAAATATTTGCCAAATTTTGCTCTGGATACTGTCTTTTGGTCATAAACAAGCTTTTGCCAAATTTCATAAAATTCCATGAAGGTTTGACAAAGTTATTGACTGGAAAAACTTTAACCTCAGACTAAATCTAAATGTTAACTGTAAAAAAAAATAAGTTCATTTATCAGTAAAATACAGGAAAATGAATACAAATATTTTCAAAATTTTGCTCTGGATACTGTATTTTGGTCATAAACAAGCTTCTGTCCAAATTTCATAAAATTCCATGAAGGTTTGACAAAGTTATTGATATCTAAATAAAAGAACAGAGTTCCAATGTCCCCCATGTTGCACATATTTTATCTATCCAAGATACAAGGGTAATAACTAAAAAAAACACTTTTTTTTTGTTCTTTAAAACTTTTATAGAGAAATGAAGGCTTCAAAGCAAATGCAATGCGATTTCCCATATAATTAATATTTCCAACGGGCATAACTCATTAAAAATATTTGACCAGCACTTATTTTTTGAAAGTGTCAAAGACATTGCTGATATAAACCATATGATATAAGTTTCATAAAATTCTGGGAAACATTGTACACATGAGAGTGCTAACAATGCAATTTTTCATATGATAAATGTTTCCAAGGGGCATAACTCTTCTAAAATAATTGATTGGCACTGATTTTCAAGCTCGTCCAAGACATTGTTGATATAGACCTATGATATAAGTTCATAAAAATCTGGCAAGAATTGTACACATGAGAGCGCTAACTGTGCAATTTTCCATACAATTAATGTTTCCAAGGAGTATAACTCTTTTAAAAATAATTGATAGGAACTGATTTTCGAACTCGTCCAAGACATTGCTAATATAAACCTATGATATTAGTTTCATAAAAAATCTGGCAAGAATTGTACATGTGAGAGCGCTAACAAGACCAGACGGATGCACGGTATTTCTATGTCCCCCGCAACGCGTTGCATGGGGGACAAAAAAATTTTCACCACAGACTGAACCTAAACGTTGAAGCAGCCGACGCTGGAATCTAGGATTGCTATGTCTAGCTGTCGCAGACTGGACTAAAATCAAGTCAGTACCTCATGACATAAAATAAACTGGTAAAGATACATTTTTTTGTCTTTGTAGTCCTTTTTGTAAGTCAGGAGGTCATGCAAAAAAGACAAAGTCACCAGCTTTAGTGCCAAAAAAAATTGTGTAAAAATTTCATAAGGATTGGTTACTAGGGAAACCATTGTTTCATGCAAAATATAGTGATGACAGTGAAGACAGCGATGATGATGATGATGATGGATGGCAGCTTAACGTTAAGCGGCAAATTAATATGCATATTCAGGACAAGAATATGCTAATGTAATAAGAATATTAACCCTGCTTTGAACTAGACCGACACCAGTTGAGCAGGATTTTAAAAGTTCACAAGGTAACAGTATGCAGGAAGACATATGTCGCCCTACCTGGACACATTATTCTGACTCCGAGCCTAACAGTTTTTGTTCTTACTCCTTAATGCTGCATGCTTAGAGGAGAAGCAGCAAATACCAATTTTAAAGTCTTTGGTTTGACCCGGCCAGGGTTCGAACCCACGACCTCCTGCACTCGAGGTGAACAATCTACCACAGACTATAATAGATAATTGATATACATTGTACCATTAAAAAATTTTCAGTCATATAAACAAGAAAATGTTATAGTTGTTCTAACACAAAGAGATCCTATAGAAATCCATGTAACTTACTTCGTCTGTGCCTCCTTCAGCTTGATAGGTAAAGGAACAGGTAAATCCTTCCTAGAAAAAAATAAATCTCATAAGTACATTTGATAAAGAACAATTTCATTTCAACAAATATATACATGTTATTATCCAAGGCTAATTTATAACATTTGGCAGACTTATTTATGTTTTTGTTGAGTAAATTAAGGACTCTGACTGACTGCATGGCAAACTTTAAACAAAGTTTTAACAGGGAGGGAGTGGTATCGATGTTTAGTTCACATGTCTGAGAAAAAACCAAGAAGCAATAAAGATTAGTCTAAGGACTAAGATATAACTGATATATAGACACAAAGCACCTTAATAAGGTGCAAAACATTTCATAGCTCACTTGAATGAAATTCCTTATATAATTTTTTTGTCTCACTCTAAATTATTTAAACGATAGTGATGATTTTGCTTTTAAAAAATTAAATTTTAAAAGTTTGGCTTTATCTGTCCTTTTTTATCCATTAGGAGTCCACAGGCCTTGAATCTAATTTAATGAGGCCAAAATGATGGAATTTTGTATGAGAGCAAGTGCATGTTTTGTGACTGTCTAAGCAGTTGGATTATGATGTTTGTTTTTGTGATAAGACTTTTACAATGATGTACATAGACTAGTGCTTTACTAACTTTATAACAGTTATGCTTTAAATGTGCCTTGTCAGTGTATATACTTGTAACTGTGATGATGGATTAATTGGATTCAATCCCTGCATGCAAAGTAGTACATAAATAGATTATTTAGTTACCTATGCTCTTGTTTGGAAGTTTAATAGCACTATATATATATATATGCTTGGATAAAATCCTTAACTTATAATACACTTGATTCCAATCCTTCTTTATGTCCAAGTATTTGGTTTAAGACAGCTTTATATTTTGTCATTTATGTGTTTGTTGGGCATAAAATCTAGGTCAGTCCGTTCAGCAAAAAGATGAGTATCTTCATTGAGATTATTTCCATATACCAGCTCACGTAAGTGTGATAAATGATAAATTTAATATATATTTCTGTAATGTCATGTCCAGAAGGGTTGAATAATGTACACAAGACTACAGATGGATGCTTAAAAAATGCCAAGCTGGTACAATGACCTTGTCGAGAGTTCAAGGATGCAGGGATCGAGTGTGCCCATAAACATTTAAATGACATCAGAAATCAGTGTACACTTAAAAGAGTTTTTTTTGCCGTAATGGATATGATGACCATGAGAATCAAATGTAATTGAAAAATGTCAGCAGTCACAATGACCTTGTCAGTTCAAGGATGAAGGGATTATAAAGTTTGCCCATAAACATTTAATGACATCAGAAATCAGTGTATACTAAAAAAGTTTTTTTTTTCGGAAATGGATATAACCTCCATGTGAATCAAATATAACATTCATTCTGCCATTACAATTTTATTAATAGTGGTGAGGTCCCTGAGCAGTGTTGATAACTTTTAAACCAATACAAGGAACAGCCTTAATAAACTGGTTTGTGCACCTACAGGGTTACAGTTTGTCCTACACCAAGTTGCTTACAATGTCCAGGAAAGAATAGATAAAGATGCCATTCAGTTGATATGAAATCAATAATGTAAGCTGACTATGCTGATGAACACAATGACAAGGTCAATAACTAGAATGTTAGAGCCAAATTTAGTCAGTGTGAAGGTTAATGTGTCAAGTTTATCTTTGGGAACTGGCTGGATTATTTTAATACCAAATCTTTTTCTTCTGTTATCCTTTTTCCTAGGGGCCTGACATCAATTGTTTCTGCTCGCACTTCATCTGGGTCGATGTTACTAGAGGCACTGTAGCCAAATAAATAAAAAATACACAGGAGGTATTGAAGATTCGGTTGCATTACTTTACAGCTTAACTTTCCAGCACACAAAATTTCGCCAGAAGGACGTGGACCAATGAACGTTGAAATTATAAGGTCAATAACTAGAATGTCGTTTCGGAAATTCCCTTAGATTTATCTATTTCATTAAATGTAAAACTCCGAAAGATCAAAGTCCAAATAGACAGAAGATACCACACAATCTTGAAAAATGGCAGCGCCCATGAGATTTGATGGCAAAGTGGCTTTAATTACCGGTGCAGGAAATGGTAAAATAATATTGATGGTTGATTTTATTTTACAATACTGAATTGCAAAAATTGTTTCTCCAAAGATTTGTCACGATCCCAGGTGATGACCCTTGAAGTTTCAGGTTGGGTCCATCACCCAAAATTATGTCAATGAGTAACTTTGGGATAAACATGTAATTAATCCCAAATGTGATAAGTTAACATGCAATCCTTTTTTAGATTCTGTGTCTGAAGCAATGTTTAGCCGCTTTTGGGATTCTGCGTCCAGAGAGATTTTCAGATTTGGCCGCTCTAGCCTCTAAGAGCGCACACATTAAATATTCACTACGGACACAGAATCCAAAAAGGGATTAAAGCAATGCTGTAAAAAAGAGTAATGGTAACAGGCTGAGTATACATTTTATTTTTAATCGCCTTAACTTAAATGCCAGTCTTATTTGACCACAGTTAATATCTCTTGTTACATAATTGTATAGACCCCTTCTTACACAGCTCATTACTCAACTTAATACACAGCTCATTACTCAACTTAATACCTCACTAGTATACCTACAACTCATTTTTCTGAGAATTTTGTGAGCTAAAAGGGGTGATACAACTCTGGTAATTTTTGAGTGAAGTAATAATTAAAATGACATTCTACATTTCCACCTTTGTGTTGTCTGTTTTTATTAGACTTATATTATTTTAGATTGCCCCTTGGTATATCTTATCTCTCTATTTTAATAGAAAATGTTTTCAAACACAAATTTACATTTTAGGCCCAAATCACTTATCACTTATCCCAAGTTTTGATGGCTGTTTTACAGAATATAAAGAAAAAAATACTGAAAATGATTTCAGAAAAAATGTTCGACTTGTTATAAAATTGGCTGGATCATAGTGCTAGTGATGCTTTGATTTGAATTTGTTATGACTTTTATTTTACATTTTGATAACTTGAATTATCATGAAAAAAAAATTTGAAAAACCTTTAATCTTTTAGTTTTTAATTTTATAGTAACCTTGGATTGCTTACATGTATTTGTACATTTTGATTCAATTCCTGTGGTCAAATGTCAGGGGCAAATCAGGACCAAGCTAGGATTTGGGTTAAGAGCAAACTTTGGCTCATTGACCAAAATGAAAAAATCTTCAATATATACATGAAAAAATTAGAGCAACGGTGGGTGTGTCCCTTTCATGATCCAAAATCGAAAATCCATGATCCCAAATGGAAAATCCATGATCCATGCCTAAATTGTAGGTCTTGGTTAGAGTTTAAATGAGAATGTACTCCAAATGATGAACAGGCTACTGAGGTTTATATATGCACATGGATATCAAGATATAAGTATGATTTCATTTTAGATGCACAATTATCTTGAAACAATCATGGTCCAGGTCCATCATATTGCGCTCAATAAAAATATGAATAGAACCCATGGTATGAAAATTACATATCCATTTAAGAAGAACAAAATGTTAGACATTGGGATGTTCCTAACAGCTGACCACACACTTTCTATCAATAGTCCACATGATAAGTAATAATTCCTTTTATTAATTTGTTTGTTGATGAAAATTTTTCTTTATACAGGAAACCACCAAGATTTTAATGATATACAAAGTCTTGCTGTAACACACAGACATTCTACACATTCAGTGTTTTTTATGATTTACTTTTTACTTTATTTTGGACAAATAGCTAATATTATGGATCTTCTGTAATAAAGTTGAAATCATTTATGAAAAAGTGTTCATTTAATGTTCACGAGAAACATGTCTTTATGCCAGGTATGAAGGACATGGGTATAACTAAATAATAATTGACAGTATGGTACATATAATAATGCATTATACTATTTTAATAGGGTCTCCCAACATTGTTGTGAATTTGTAATCTAATTGTATATGTAATTTTGATTGAAACTGACAAACTGTAATTTCCTTCTAGGTATTGGACGGGATTATGCATTGGCATTTGCTGCCAGAGGTGCCTCAGTTGTTGGTAAGTATTGCTAAGAGTTATGGGAAATGGTAGTTTGAATTTCAGACAATTAAAGGAAGATTGATTGATTGATTGATTGTTGGTTGCTTAACACCCAGTGGCAAATTAATGAAGATAATATTATTCCTTATTTAAATTTTCTTATATGTGATTTTTTTGTGTGAATGCAATTGTAGAAAATTGTAAACCATGTACAATGTACTACTACATAAGGATTAATAATCTTTTTGAAAATTATGATCAAAATAAAAGAAAAATGTATAAGTCAAAGGGAGATAATTAAAATTAAGATTTCTGAATTTGGATACTGGAAGTGTTTTCTATAAATATCCATTAAAAAATTTCATTTCCAAAATATATTTCAAGAAATATGTGTTCTAATTTCATTATTATATATGACATATATAGGGGGATATTATTCTTTGTGAATACTACTAACATAAAAATCCAAAGAAATTGGTAATTATTTTGTTTTTTAGAATATTAAGATCAAATAAGAAATAAAAAGAAAAATGGGTTCTTGATTTATAAATAACTATCTAAATCTAAATAAAAAAACCCATTTGATTGCCTTTTTATAGTATCTGTAAAAAAATGAAAAATGGTGGTCCCAAAGATTTTAATTGTTTTTTTAGGTAAACAATGTTCATTTACTTTAGTCTACAAATGTAACTAAAAATATAAAGATGTAAAAGCTGAAAATTTGTATACAATTTTAACAATATGTACTATTAACTAGAAGATGTACTGATTTATTTGTGTTATTGTATTCAGTTAATGACCTTGGAGGTGACATGAAAGGTGGAGGTCGTGGCACAATGGCAGCAGATAAAGTTGTGGAAGAAATCCGAGCCAAGGGTGGTAAAGCAGTACCTAACTATGGTAGGTAAAAGGTGATAAATCAGTACCTAAGGCTTACTATGGTAGCTAAAGTGAGGTAAAACAGTAACTAACTATGATAGTTAAAGTAAGGTAAAGAGGTTACTGACTATGTAGCCATATCCCCATTAAAAATTGTTATATCGGCTAATTCAGGCGATCTACTCAACATATGTTATAAAGAGTTCTTTGCAAACATTTAATAACTCCTTAGTTGTTATATCCTTATTCCATAGTTCTCCACCAATAAAAACTGGCCACCACTAAATACCACACTAATGCTGAAAGTGCTGAAAGTGGCGTTAAACGCAAATCAATCAATCCATAGTACTCTGTACTTAAAAATAGCACAAATTGTTAATTTCAGTCAATTAATTAAATAGTAGCATGTCTAAAATCATAGATGCAAGATTTTTGTTTACAAATCATAATTGTGTTCCTCACTTTGAGGTCAATAAGGGATATTTCATTTTTAGCTCACCTGGCTCAGAGATTTTCTCATGACTTGGCTTCCAGCATCGTCGTCCATTAACTTTTACAAAATCTTCTCTTTTCTTTAACTTCTGGGCCAAATTTACCCAAACTTGGCTACAAGCACCATAAGGGTATCTAGTTTAAAAAATGTGTCCGATGACCCTGCCTGCCAACCGAGATGGTCGACATGGCTAAAAATAGAACATAGGGGGTAAAATGCAAGTTTTTGTCTATTAATATGGAAACCACTATAGATAGAGGAAATCTGATATGGGCAGAAATGTTCAAAATGTTGAGCTCTACCTATTGTCTATTTCAGTCAAAACTGTCAGATGACTTCTTATAGGAGTTGTTGCCCTTAAATGACAAATTTAACTTTTATTTTTCATTTTTGCCTATTATCTTGAAAACTAAAATAGATAGAGAGAAACTTTAATAGCACAAATGACCATTAATTCAGATGGCCTAAATTGTCAAACGACTCCTTATTTGCATTTTTGCCTAATTATCTTGTGACTTATATTCAATAGATAGACACTATAAATAGCAAACATGATTAGCAAGACCAGATCTACCAATAAGTGCAATGGCCAAATTCTTCAGATGACTCATTATATGAGTTATTGTTCTTTAATGATATGACAATTTTAACCAATTTTTATTGTTTTTGCCCATTATCATGAAAACTATGAAAGATAGATAGAAACTTGAAACAACATAAATGATCAGCAAGACAACATCTACAAACAAGTCAAATTTTCCTGAAATAGTTAGTAGACTCGTTATAGGAGTGATTGCCATTTAATGACGATTTGTTAATCCTCTTGTGTTTTGGGCAAAAACTAAAGAAGATTGAGAGGAACTGTAAACAGTAAAATGATCAGCAATACAAAATAAAAAAAAAGAGATTTTTGTCATTAATTCTATTCTAGTCTACAATGTTGAAGAGTGTCCTTTGTTGAAGATGCACATAGACCTAGGTGAGCGACACCTGCTCTTTAGAGTCTCTTGTTTTGTTGTATCTGCTGTCATGAAAATATGTTGCATAATTCATATCCAACGTATTTGTTCAATTTGAAATTCAGTTTTTCTTATGTCGGCCTACTGCTTCAACCCGTTGGAGTTTAAAGATTCCCTGTTTACATTTGGTGAGGGTGACCTTGACCTGTTTCCATATCTTTGTGGCGATCTACTTTTAGGTTTTTCACATTGTGCAATAAAATGTCCTTCTTCACCACAGTTAAAGCATTTATTATCTCTAATAGGACTTCTTCCTGGACTTGATAATCTTTGTGATTGTCCGAATCTATTGGTTGAATTATCTCTTTTCAGGATGTCCAGTATCTGTTTGATGCTCGACTTTGTTTCTTGAACATCTTCTTCTGTCTTTTTAAGTCTTGACTCAAGTTTACTAATTACATCAGTATCACCTGTTCCTTTTCTGTACAAAGCTCTTACACTTGTGGTGGATTCATGATCCCCATGTGAGTTATACATGTCTG